ACACACACACACACACACACACACACGAGTCCATCCAGAGAGCCCGTTTTTGGTCTGTTTTGTTGCTTTTCTAAATACATTTTCCACTGAAGAAAGGATTCCTGGCAAAAGCAGAGTTGGCAACAGTTGCCCTAGGGAGCTGCTGCTGTGAGCACGTGTGGTGGCTGGGACTCCCGGGTCCACTCTCAGGTACAGCCCAGGAGCCTCAGGAAGCTCACACACAGGCAGGAGTCCTGGGAAAGTTGAAAACTAGGCCTGTGACACCCCGGGCACAGGCAACAAGTGAAAAAAGAGACAAATTGGACTTCATGAAAATTTAAAACTTTTGTGCACCGCACAATTTTTTGCAACCCACAGGTGGAACTTCTTCCAGAAGCCTCAGCTGTTCTTACAGCCTTTCACTGATTGGATCAGGCCCACCAGTTTATCCAGGATCATCTTCTTTAAAGTCCACTGGTTGTGGACACTAGTCACATCTACAAAAACCTCCACAGATTAGTGTTTGGTTGAAAACTGGGTGCTGTAGCCACACCAAGTTGACACTTAAAACCAATGATCGCATAGGTAAAGGGTTGGAAAACAGGGAGAAAATATTGTCAGGGGGCCGGGTGCTGTGGCTCACGCCTGTAATCCTAGCACCCTGGGAGGCCGAGGCAGGAGGATCGCTTGAGCTCAGTGGTTCTAGACCAGCCTAGACTCCATCTTTGCCAAAACTAGAAAAATCAGCTAGGTATGGTGGTACTCACCTGTAGTTCCAGCTACTAGGGAGACTGAGAGGATCGCTTGAGCCTAGGAGTTTGAGGTTACTGTGAGCTAGGCTGATGCCTGGGCGGCAGAGCAAGACTCTGTCTCCAAAAAAAAATGTATTATCAGGGAGCCCCGGAAGGAGCTGTTTACAAGTGAGCAGATTGGACTGGCAACTCCATTAGGTTTTATCTCAGTTGTGACCAGGCTGTAGGCAGGTTTGTTCAGCTGGAGTAAGACATGTATTCACCTGAAGTGGGTGGGGTTGGGAGAAATGGTGGCACCAAAGAGGGTGATTATCATGGGTTCACTTTGACTTTACCCGGGTAGGAGTAACTAGGGACTTTGTTCTGCTCCCGTTTCTTTGTGGATCCTTTCTTGCTAGAACACAGCCTTTATTACCTGATAGTGTTTAAAGGCATTTACCATCGATTGATTGATGAGTCACTACACTTTGAAAGAAGAAAGGAAAGGGCTAAATTACCCCTGGTTTATAAGGCCAAACCATGTGAATTCTGACCTAAAAAACAGCAACTTCACGTGATCTAATTTGATCAGTGGCGGGCTGACTTGGGGAGTGTGCCCTTTTGCAGGAATTATGAGCACTTGGGCTTGAGAGCTTTGCTTTGATGACTTTTGAAAGACTGGGGAGCATTAGATTTGTTTTTTTGGATTTTGTTTTGCTTTGTTTAGACTGTGGTTCGTTTATTCAGACTAATCACAATCCCAGTAGTGTGTGTGAGAGAGCAAGACACGTAGCTTCCACACAGCCCCACAGACAGGCCCGTCTTTCCCCTGCCTTGTGCCTGACACCGTCTCCCATCCTTCCAGATGCCTACACGGAAGATGACCTCATGCTGTACTGGAAAAAAGGCAACGACTCCTTGAAGACAGATGAGCGCATCTCACTCTCCCAGTTCCTCATTCAAGAATTCCACACCACCACTAAACTGGCTTTCTACAGCAGCACAGGTGGGTGTGGGGGGAGGGGCTGGGTGTGGGGAGGCTTCGGCCAAGATGTAGAGGTTCATCCTCCCTTGTAGGAAAGGTGTGAGTTGGTTGTCAAGTAAGCAGAGCCTGTGTCACTCCTATCTGAAACAAAACACAAGAATCCCAAATGAAGTCTAGTGGGTGGCAAGCACTGGGTGGAGGTGATTTTCTTATATCATCAATGCATCAGGAGTACAAACCTAAAAAATATTAGTGGGACTCAAACATAAATGAGCAGGTTTATTTGAGATAATTGCATCGCCAGCTTAGTAGCTGGCACCATAGCCTGATATGCCTGTCAGAGGCTCTTCCTCTACAGCAAGAAACAAGTTCAACTTCGGTCTGTTGTTTTTCATTCATTTTTCCCTGCTCCAGCCAGCTACTCAGGGCACTCTGCTCTTAACCAATCCCCTCCTGCCACCCTGCTTGCACAAGCCCTGTGTGACTCTCCTCTAAGCCTCCATGCAGGAACCGCTGGTTATTCCCCTGTGGGCCTGGTTGTTGCTTTTTGAACCAACTGTCTGGACAGGCTTGCTACCTCTGGTTGCCCGTGACCTTCCTGAGAGCCTGCCTGTGCTACTTAAATAGCTTAGGCTAACTTGCTCCATCCCTTGCCTCTTTTTGGACCAGTCACCTTTCAGAATGATTTTGCTCAAATTCTTAAGCAGTTCTATTGCTAAGAACTTCCTTGATTGACCGCACAGGGAAGTGCAATCTTCTAAGTACCCCGTGGTCTTCCTGTCTATAAGACAGAGCACTGCTTTACTTCCAATGTAGCATGCCACCCAGCACTCCTAGTCCTCTGCTTCCATCACCCACGAGGGGACCCTGGTTCTTTTGACCCTCAGCATTTTGACAGTGCCTCACAATCACTTCCTGGTTCCATGAGGCAGGTCCCAAATTAGCCAGGATGCCAGTTTCCAGTCAGTGCTGCCAAGTTCACATTTAATTTTCAGTCCTAGGCATCTCAACTTATCCTGCCTTTGCCTTTTCCCTCCATCATCCTCCCTTTCCCTTCAACCCCCTAGCCATACATTTTCCTTGTAAAGAACACAAGAGCAGAGCTAAAGCATAGCTGGACCTGTGATTGTTCACTCTGCTCCTAAATACAATGTCGTGTTTAGTTTTGTATTTTAACTTAAAGCACATTTCTCCCAATAAAGAAATTCAGAGGGGATTGTCTAAATCAGTGCTTCTCAAACTTTGGCATGTACACAAATTGCGTGGGGAATATTGTTAAGTGGAGATTCTAATTCAGTAGATCTGTGGTGGGGCCCTAACGGCTGCATTTCCAACAAGCTCCCACCCAGGTGGTGGTGAGGCTACTGGGCCCGGGAACGAATTTTGAGTAACAAGAGTTTAAACAACCTTCTCAAGGGGCTCCCTTTGTGTATAGGACAGGGGCCAAAGATTTAAGATGGATTCACCCAAGTGGTGTGGATTACCATGTAATCACTTTATTCCATGGTTTTTTCTCATTTCCACCTTTTAAACCTATGGTAAGATTGCATTGGAGTGTCTAAAGTATTTATGATTCCCTAATTAAAATTTGTTATTTGAAGGAGCTAGTAGCTATGATGTGTGCCATCTTTTCTTCCTGTGTCCCCCAGGCTGGTACAACCGTCTATATATTAACTTCACGCTGCGTCGACACATCTTCTTCTTCTTACTCCAAACCTATTTCCCCGCCACCCTGATGGTCATGCTGTCCTGGGTGTCCTTCTGGATTGACCGTAGAGCTGTGCCTGCCAGAGTCCCCCTAGGTAAGAAATATCTCAAGTGTACATTCCAAGCATCTGAAAATATGAGTAATTCCTTCCAGACAAAAGCATTCTTTTCTTCTTTTTTTTTTTTTTCCATGCCTTCTCGTTTCTTTCAACATTCTTTTCAAATTTGTCCTATACCCCTTTAGGTATTGTAACTTGGAGAAACTCCAAGTTATTTAATGTCAGGTAAAATCCCATAATTAAGAATCTATGGGCCGGGCGCGGTGGCTCACGCCTGTAATCCTAGCACTCTGGGAGGCTTAGGCAGGAGGATTCCTTGAGCTCAGGAGTTTGAGACCAGCCTGAGCAAGAGTGAGACTCCTGTATCTACCAAAATTAGAAAAATTAGCTGGGCATGGTGACATGCATCTGTAGTCCCAGCTATTAGGGAGGCTCAGGCAGGAGGATCGCTTGAGTCCAGGAGTTTGAGGTTACTGTGAGCTATAACGACGCCACTGCACTCTAGCCCGGTGGCAGAGCAAGACTGTATCTCAAAAAAAAAAAAAAAAAAAAAAAAAGAATCTATGTAGCAAAATTTTCCAGGACCCTACAGGTGCCCATCCAAACAGCCCACCTTTAGTTTCATGAGAGCTGTGTTCTAGGGTGGATGATCCTGGTCTTTAGGTGCTTTCTCTGCTCACTTGTGAAATGAATCACATTCTATAACAGGGTTTCTCAAAAGGTGGCATGAAAGATCTTTGTAAGAGACTCTCTGAGGGAAATTGTTAAAAATGAAGAGTCCTGGGTCTCATCTACATCCACAAAATCATAATCTCTAGGTGAGGACCAGGAACCACCATTTTTAACAAGCTTTCCCAGTCATTCTTACACATACTCAAGTCTGAGAATGCCCACTCCACAAGCATTCCATCAGCGGCTGTTTGCCATCAACTTGCACTCATTCTGAATATTGTACCCAATTAATCACACACACCACCATCACTCAGACAGTTCAGGGGCTGCAAGGGGGAATGTGACTCACCAGGTTTTAGTGAAACTGGATTGGGGCTGGCCCTTAAGATGACCCCAATCCTCTATGATTTGATGTTTGCCAAACAAATGTTCTGAGCTTAATTTGAAATCCTGGGCAAATTTCCATGGACAGATGCCCGGTCCTCTAACAGTTGTTCTGTAGCTTGAACAGTCACTGTGCTAAATAAACATACATTCTAGTTTTGCAATCTGTCTCCTATAGATGAAGTTAACATCATCATCCTTAGTAAAATCGACCTCTGGGTCCTGGAGTGGACATTGCCGAGTGGCAGCCAGGTCAGCACGGGGTGGCGGCCAAGGGAGTCATGACAGCTGTTAACGGCGCCAGGACAACAGGACTCCATAGGAGGAGCAAGGACACAAATATTAAGATAAACCTCATGCACCTTCCCCCTCCCCCATGTATACCCACTCGTAAATGAATCTCTTATTTTTAAAAATTGAGATAAATACCTTAATGCCAAAAAGTCTGGGGCTCTCTGCGGAAGGATAAAGCGACACAGATGCTATGATGAATACACACGGTAGGCAGAGGGGAAACGGGCGGGGATGAGAGGGAAAGGATCAGGAAAAGCTTCGCAAAAGCGAAATTGTGAAAGATGAGTAGATGTTTGCTAGGCAGAGGGGCAGGGATGGAGACAGTCTAGGTCGAGGGAGCAGCAGGGACAAATAAGCGGAGACGCGAAGCCATTCCTGATTGGTGAAAGACAAACAAACGCTTATTTCTCCTCGTGTGTGTTTGCAGGCATCACGACGGTGCTGACCATGTCGACCATCATCACGGGCGTGAACGCCTCCATGCCCCGCGTGTCCTACATCAAGGCCGTGGACATCTACCTCTGGGTCAGCTTCGTGTTCGTGTTCCTCTCGGTGCTGGAGTACGCGGCCGTCAACTACCTGACCACGGTGCAGGAGCGGAAGGAGCAGAAGCTGCGGGAGAAGGTGACTTCACCAAAGGGCGCTTAAAGCGTCTGGGCAGGATGGAGCCTGGTCCAGCTCTGGGGCCCCGGGCAGGTCAGACCTCCTCCGTAAAATGGGGTTGTGATACCCCCTCCTCTGCCTACTTCACAGGGTGGTTGTGAAGAGCAAACATCACCACGTGCGTTAAGTCAGTGTGACATTTACTGTGGGTGACATCTTTTGTTTACTAAACATTTATTTAGCCCTTTCCACATACTTGCAGCTGCTAAAGCCAGTGTAACTAAGACCTGTCTTGGGTCTTAGCAACATCTTGGTGGTGTTCAGTTTAGTGAGGGAATCCCAGGAGAAAAAGAAATGGCAATTTAACATGGTGGAACAAATTATTTACAAACATAGAGGTGTATTAAAAGAACCCTCTAGGAAAGAACAATTCCTGTTCTAGGAACTTTTCCTTCATATGTGACCTCCTACATCTCCCAGGCTATCTTCCCTCCCACCGGCTTTCGTCTGTCTGTCCAGTCTGTAGCTCGATGGTTATGTCCTCCAGAAAATTCTCATCCTATTGCAATGATCTAGCCTCACGATGACTATACCTTTCCAGTTCTCACCCCCATCTCTCTCTCTCTCTCTCTCTCTCTCTCTCTCTCTCTCTCTCACATACACAATAATGTGATCTGTAAACATTTTTATCAAGGGCTCTTGTTAGTTTATGATCTCATGGAGAACAAGTCGATTTATGTCATCAAGAATCAACATTCTTGTAGGTCCCTGCTATCACATTGCGATGTTCCTAAGAGTCAACAAGAGTCCTTTAGTTCAACAAAAATGGATACCTGCTGTTTTAGAATGTTTACAGTGACACCACCGTTACTGTCCTACCCTCTTCCCAAACTGGAATAAGAAAGAAACTAGGAAAAAGCAACACCCTCCACTATGCCGTTTCTTTGGAAGCGCTTCCGAGGGCAGACGCTGAGCGGCACCTGTGTTTGCTGTGTTCGCAGCTGCCCTGCGCCGGCGGGCTGCCTCCGGCCCGCGCCGGGATGCTGGACGGCGGCTACAGCGACGGGGAGGTGAACGACCTGGACAGCTACCTGCCGGACACCGACAGCGGCGAGAAGCCCGACAGGATGATGGTGCAGCTGACCCTGGCCTCGGAGAGGAGCTCCCCACAGAGGAAAAGTCAGAGAAACAGCTACGTGAGCATGAGAATCGACACCCACGCCATTGATAAATACTCCAGGATAATCTTTCCAGCCGCATACATTTTATTCAATTTAATATACTGGTCTATTTTCTCATAGATGCCTGTAATTCTATAAATTCCACACTCTGCATGGTGTGCACTACAGAAATATCTGTGTAACGAAAAAGAATTTAAGGATATGTTAAAAAAATATTCCCAGTACCCCCTCGTGGTTCTACTGTCCCTTCTGCAGCTTTGCAAAGCTACACTGACAAGACACTCACTGGTTTAACACAGTAACTGCAGTGTGAGTTGTATTTAACTCACGCTAGTTTTCAGCCCAGGGCCTAACGAAGCGTATGTAACTCACACATCTCTTCACTTTGGGAGCTCAGGTGAACTATTTTTCAAGTTGCATATAACTCACGCACAGAAAACAATAAAAAATAACAAATTTTGCATTAAATTATAAAGGATTGTTTTGTTTTCAAAGTTTTTATTCTATTTTCGTAATAAAAGAGGGTGGCCCCAAGGAAAAAATTTTTTTTCTAGTGTGGCGATGTGTTGATTTGCATTTATTAACCATCTATTGTATACGCAGCATTACATAAGTGCTGCAGGAATATGACACTGTAGCAACTGATGTTGTTACCCACATTCCCTGGAAAAGCACATTACCAATGTTGTGGGCACATTCGCATTAATGATTTCTTTTACATGAGTGTCATTATAGTCTTCGGACTAGGTGGACTTGGGAAGCACCTAGAGTTCATTTGCATGGAACCTACATGCACCTAAATCCTCATTATGACAGAAACTCTTGCTTCACTTTATAGCCTATTACCTATTTTTTATGCATCTCTACACGTTTAATAAAAGGAAATAATAATATTCCATTATTTTTATTGACACGCTGTGGTTCACGAGGTTTCACCTCTTCACAAGAAAAAATCTTTAGATTGGTGCAAATGTTTCTGATTTTGGTGGGACTTTCCCTAGAAGGGGAACTTTGAAGATAAAGGTATATACATGCATTTTGTCTGTTTTGTCATGGAGATAACTAGGCTAGAAAACGTGTGTTTAAGTGTTTCCTGCTTTTTAATCACCACTTCATGTATCCCCACTTTGGAGTATACCCTTGTTCAAAGCCAAATCCTTTCTCGATGATGTGGTATCTTCACTGAAGAACTTGGGAAGAGAATGATTTCTCCTGTATAAAAAACATTCCAAAGAAATTTGGGACTACCTGTAACTCATTAGAATGAGAAACACTCAAATGGTTTCTTAAGAGTAAAAGAACATCAAAAAGCAAAAGAAATGGGACGACATCACTGAATGTCTGCATTTATACTCAGTGGATACCAGCATTTTCCATGAAACAGAAAACTGTCATCATAGGCAGAAGGATGGACCTATGGCAGCTGATGTGAGGGCGTGGGATAAAGAAGAGGGTTCTAATTCAATGTATTATTTTAAAACAGAGTTATTTATACTGTACACCTATATACCATATAGCTCAACCCCCATCAAACTTACCCAAATGGCATTTGTCTTATTTGAAACTGACTTTAAAAATGAATTATATACACAATAAATGTCATTTTCATTTCAAAGTTAACTTGACTGATCATCAATAGTAAATAATATCATGGTATTTCTACATATGCAGGACTGTACTTTATTCTAATTTGAAAAAGAAAACTTATTTACATAAATCCTAATTACAAGACAATCTCCCATTTCCCCCCAGAAAACCTCAAGACATTTTTAAAATGTTATTTTAAAAACATTGCTTTTTCCATGCTTTTTTATAGAACAATTGCAATCAAAAATCAACTCTTCACAAGCATCTTTGCTACTGTCTACTTCCTCATCCCTAGGGCCACTTTGGGTCATCTAGGTTTTCCAGGTACACCATCTCAGCTTCCACCTACCTTGTTTTGGATACTCCACCATTTTAACCAGCATATAGGATGCTCTATTAGTCTGCTAAAGTTGCCATAGCAAAGTACCACAGACTGGGTGGCTTAGACAACAGAAATGTATTTTCTCACAATTTTGGAGGCCGAAGTCCAAGACCAAGGTGTTGGCAGGTTTGTTTTCTCCTGAAGCTTCTCCTCCTGGCTTGTAGATGGCTGCCTTCTCACTGTCTTCATGTGGTCTTTCCTCTGTACATGTCTGTGTCCTGATTTCTTCTTCTTAGAAAAACACCAGTCTTATTGGAATAGGGCCCATCTCAATGACCTCATTTAATTTTAATTACCTTTTTAAAGGACCTATCTCCAAATACAGTCATATTAGGAGTTGAAGTTTCAACATCAATTTGGGAAGAAGTGGGGTGAAACACAATTTGTTCCATAACAAAGATCCATGGAAATTATCCATTTGCATTACAGCACATCCAATGAATCTTACAGGTGTTTAGTCCTGATTTTTGCAACATAATCTCATACAGTATTGTTTTTAAAGTGATCTTTAAAAGGCTTGTTTACATTGATAGCCAGAGTAGTGATTAAATTCATGTTAAATTTCTTTGCTACCTTTTCTAGTAATTCTACAGTGACCTCCATGAGTACCTAAAACTCACATTAATTGAACAATTTCCATGCTAATGTGTTTTCTCAAGGCAGTACTTCACTGTCAAAGTTATGTAATCCAGAGAGAGCTCTATAATATGATTTTGTAAGGACCTAAATATAAAGCAATTCCCTCTTTTCTAATGGATAATTTTGGAGAAAATCATCATATATGTGAGCATCTATAGTATAATAAACTTTCACTGGCATGAATAGGATGATTTGGTTAATAATACTGTCTGGCTAATAGGCAGGTACCATGTGGGTATATTGAATAATTAATTTTTAAAGGGTTAAAATACACTTCACTAAAACTATATCCAACATAATGTATCCTCTGCCTGGTGGTTCAGAAGGCACTTCAGGATTTTGAGGGTCTCTTATCATTATGATTTAATGTGGGCATCATAAAGACGTGCAGAAGTATTAGCCAGTAGAGAAGTGGAGTTTTAGTCAAATCAGCTTTTACTTAATAGCAGTATTCCCTTCCTGTGTTATATTATCCTAACCAATATTCTTTAGTTTTTTTTTCATAACCAATACTTTGTAGAAAGGACTGGTGATGCTAGATCTTAGAATAAAAAATGGCTTATGTTAGTAACAATAAAACCTCACATTTGCGAACCCAGTTTCACAAAGTGTATGTTCACATTCTGTTTCATTTGAATCTAAATGAGGAAATTTTTAGAGGCCAAGAGAGGCTGACTGACAGGCACACAGAAAACATGGTTAATAAGTGAAAAGACTCCTAACCCCAAGCTCACTCACCCAATTACAGATAATAGATAAATACTGGACAAGCAAACTGCCACACACCACACATAAACACTAGTATAAGGAAATATTTTTACCAATCAATGGCATCTTTTCATGAAGATGAAATATTCATGAAGTAATATTGAGCACCTGTTCTGTAGTATGCAACATTCTAGACTAGTGCTTCTCCAAAGTGTCTATGGTGAAAGGCCAGTTTTATTTACTTTCCAATCCATCAGCTTTTTGTATGAGTTTTTTGAAAGTGGAGAGTTGCTGACATAACCGAGCCCTGCGCCTGCATTCCCCCCTCCAGGAACATGGACTTGTGGGTTTCAACCACGGAGCCTGCTACTGTGTATGGCTGTAATCACAGCAAGCATGATAATGCACGTAGAGAAAGAACAATTTTAGGCAGGGCACAGTGGCTCACGCCTGTAATCTTAGCACTCTGGGAGGCTGAGGCGGGAGGATCATTTGAGCTCAGGAGTTCTAGACCAACCTGAGCAAGAGCGAGACCCTGTCTCTACTGAAAAATAGAAAGAAATTAGCTGGACAACTCAAAATATATAGAAAAAATTAGCTGGGCATGGTGGTGCATGCCTGTAGTCCCAGCTACTCGGGAGGCTGAGGCAGGAGGATCGCTTGAGCCCAGGAGTTTGAGGTTGCTGTGAGCTAGGCTGACGCCACGGCACTCACTCTAGCCAGGGCAACAGAGCGAGACTCTGTCTCAAAAAAAAAAAGAAAGAACAATTTTATTTTGCTGTTATCAATAAAATTGTTACAACTGAATTTTAAGGATTGCTATGTATGGGAAATTTCAGTACTTTTCTTACTACCTGCAGTAGTAAGAAAGTACATTCAATGTACATATCAAGAATTTTAGAGTAATACCAGTTAGCTCACTTCGGTGTCACAACTGTCAAAATAAAAGGATGCCTTAACTTTTCAATTCCATATTCTGAATTTAATCTATTTTCTATCAATTATTTTTAGTATTAGTACCTTATGTGGAAGGAGACAACCTTAGTTTTTTGAGATCAAATTATTTTATAAATGCCCTCTGGTTTACTTCAAAAACAATTTACATATCCATATAAGTTTTGTGGGTTTCTTCGAGTAGCACTTATAGCTCTGTGCACACTCAGTCCCTAGGGTGACACAACACATGCATTCGTAGGGCACCTGGCTGGCATGCAGGTCTTGACCATGAGAACTGAATGAAGGTAGCTGTGTCTCCTTGAGAATCCAATTCATGCCTAAGTGAGGTTAACTTACGTGAAACATCCATATCACCCAGCTACACCTTGTATCTATAGTGGGAGGTGGAAAAAGGGGAAGCATTTAGCTTTTCATTCTTCATGATTTACAAGTCTCAATACTGTGTTTAAAACAGCATGATTTGTATTAAAGACTCTTAAGTTTCAAGTACAGAAACCTTTCATTTCATGGTAACGCACTGAAGAATGCATACTAAGAGTCATGGACTAACAAGCTAATGAAGGAAAAGAATAAAATAAGTAAACTCTTGACGAAAGTTTAAAATCTAGTTAGAACAAAAAAATTCCATTTTTTTTTTTTTATTATTCCAGGGTTTTGTGAGGGTACAAACATTATAGTTACACTTTATGTCTTTGCCTCACCCAAATGTGGGTTAAAGGCATGCCCTTCCCTCCCTTTAGTGCTCCCCGTGTCCTTTAGTTGTAGATTTGCCCCCCGCATCCCCCTAATCCCTAGAGAGTATTTCTGCCATGTGATCAACCTAGTGTTGATCAGTTAGTACCAATTTGATGGTGAGTACAAACGGATCCCGTTCTTCTGCTCTTGTAGTGCCCCACTTTGGATAATGGGCTTAAGTTTAATCCAGGAAAGTATAAGAGGTGCTAGATCACTGTAGTTTCTTATGATTGAGTAATATTCTATTGTAAACATATACCAAATTTTGATAATCCACTCATGGA